GAAAGTGCCACAAACCACCAACACAGATCCCTCAGCAGCAGCAGCAGCAAATGCCTTACGCAGCAGCTTAGGTAGGGTACCTGCAGCAGCAACAGTAGCAGCAGCACGGAGGCAGCAACAATACTGCAGCAGCAGCAGCTCGAGCAAACCAGCAGCAGCAACACGATCTGCACACAGCAGCACTAGCAGCACCAGCAATAACAACAGCAATCGCTGCAGCAGCAGCAGCAGCAGCAACAGAGGGAGGGCTTGCCTGGGCGGATTTGTTGCGCCAGTTTCATGTAGTCGTGCTGCTGCTGCTGCTGCTGCTGCTGCTGCTTCTGCTGCTGCTGCTGCTGTGTCTCCTCTTGTTCTTTATCATTTAGCCAAAGAGACATTTGCAAGATTCCTTCCTCTACTACTCGACGGAGACTGCAAGGAGACACATAAACACAAAAGGAGACACTTCAGCAGCAGCAGCAGCAGCAGCAGCAGCAGCAGCAACCCCAGCAGCAGCAGCAACAATAGCTTAAAAAGAGACACTAATAAAATAAAAGGGGACAAGTAAATAATAAAAGGAGACAATTAAATAAAAAAAGGAGACAAATAAATAAAAGGAGACAAAGGAGACAATTAAATAAAAAAAGGAGACAAATAAATAAAAAAAAAGAGACAAATAAAGGAGACAAATAAAAAAAAGGAGACAAAAGGAGACAGTTAGTACTCTTGGTCAATTTTATTATTGGAGATAATTTGTTGTAAGACATCTCCTGTCTCTTGGCAACGAGGATGATTTGCTGTTGCTATATACAGGCCCTGCAGCAGCAGCAGCAGCAGCAACAGCAGCAGTATGAGGATAAGGATACACTTATAATATAGATTAGCGGATATAATCTTTTTTAGGGATTAGGGTTTTTGAGTTCTCTAGGGTTTAGGGTTTAGGGTTTAGGGTTTGAGGGTTATGTAGGGTTTAGGGTTTTAGGGTTTTTTAATATCCTTTAAAGCTATTAGGGTTTAGACTTCATTAGGGTTTAGGGTTTAGACTTCATTTAGGGTTTATTGCTTAAGAGGTCCCTAGATTATATATATTTTCTAGGGTTTAGGGTTTTTCTAGGGTTTAGGGTTTAGGGTTTTTCTAGGGTTTAGGGTTTAGGGTTTAGGGTTTACATTTAGCCTATTATTAATAGGGAATAAGAATTGTGCTAAGGCAGGACGAAGAATAGTTGGCGAACGATCAGAAGAAATACAACAAAAGAGACGAATAGATACACCATAGTATTTATATCCTACTAACTAAATAAAGAAAAAAAAAAGGAGACAAAAAAAAAAGGAGACACATAAAAAGGAGACACATAAAAAGGAGACATATAAAAAGGAGACATATATTAATATTTATATCCTACTAAGTAGATAAGGAGACATATGGCAAATAGCAGCAACAACAGCAGCAGCAACAGCAGCAGCAACAGCAGCAGCAGCAGCAGCAGCAGCAGCAGCAGCAGCAGCAGCAGCAGCAGCAGCAGCT